CTGGACTTCCATCTTCCAGGTCCCTGAGTGAAGCTCTAGTATCAGCTCATGCAGTCCACTGGATCTCCCCATAAAGCTCAGCAGACCGTCTCTGTAACCAGCAGTCTACAGACTGACCAACTTCATCTATCTCCACTCCACCACCAGTTTCAGGCCTGGGGGGGGGACAGCCCTATTCTTTACTCCTGTTCATGTATATCTATCAAAATTAAATGTTATGTTTCCTGCAGATGTCTGAGCACCAAAGACTAAGTAATTGTATCAATAAATTTCTTCTAATTGTCTTTTCTCTTCGTGTGAGTTTTTCAGATTGAACGTAGCATATCACAATAGATGGCAGCAAGTCTGGATGGATGGCACTAACATATATTATAAACTTACAGTCTGTCCTTAAAGTGATAAAGTATATACTCAGCCTCTGTGAAGAGGTTAATACCCCACCCCACACACACACACACAGACACACACACACACACCATCACTGCTGTTTCTCCATATCCAGACAGATTTCGTCAGATCTCCCTAAAATGCCACTTCTAAAACACATCACATATTTCTCTTAATTTCCGTTTGTGTGACGATGTTTTATTGTTTTTATACACATGCAGGTTGGAGCCAAAGACAGCTCAGGCTGAAATTAGATACAGGCGCTATTTTGAAGGTAATGGGAACCATCACAAAAAAAAAGCACGGGATTCCTGAAGAAATGAGGTTCGAGCATTAATACCTGCAGTGTGAACGCAGCCTTGATGGCGGTTGACAGGCTGCTATCTGCTGGTACCATTCCCCACTTTTCCATGTTTTCTCCATTTGTGGATAATGCCTCTCAATGTGATTTATGACTCTCCCAAACCCTTACTAATGGCATGGTCACTGTTTCCTGGATGAAGTTTTTCACATATTTTCTTACATTCCTTTAGATCAGAGCTTGATTTGTTGCTCTTGTTTTTCCTTTTAAGATTTTTTTTAGCTGACGTTATGAACAATGACAGGTTCTATTTTAGACTGTCAGGATTCATACCAGGATATGATGACTAAACTTAAACCAAATGGGGTTATTTTAGTTCATTTACATTTGAAATGAGGAACAGTGAATTTTTACATTGAGCCAGGTGGATTTTAATTGCTTATTTCACTTATTTAATCAAATAATGGTTTGCTTTAATTATGTAATTATAATTTGAGTAAATCCCTTTCTGCTTATTGGGGTTCTACTTGTCTGATATCAAATGTTTGTTGATTTACAGACTCTTATTTTGACAAACAGGCATAAGAAATCACTGTGCTAAATACTGAGATGTTTACATTAGGATCTTGCTTTACCATCTGGATTACTTTCTGTTGTAAAATCCACTTTATCCTCCATTGTATTTAGAGTAACACTTCTGATAACTTGTTAATTTCTAATCTCTTTGCTTTCAGCTGCAGTAGGAAAATGTTCATCCTGCTTTAAACACATCAGTTAGATACTCCTGATGTAAACACAGAGGTCGGTTTCACTCAGGGGCTCAGAGCAGTTGCTTTAAGCTCTGAGATGTTAACATACTCCCTGTTTGTTTCTGGTGAGTGCCTGTTAATTGCACTTAGAGTGTGTGGAACACCAATAAAGCAGCAGTCTGTTCGCTTGTAACAGCTGTTGTTTTGAATGTGTTTTGGTAAATGCTGTAAATAAACCAATTTTCTGCTGTGTTTTTTTGGAAAGCCAAACAAAACCCACCTTTAGATGATACTGGCTTTAAAAGCTGGAAATAATTTGCTTTGCTTTATTAATTTATTTTGTAGCCCGTCTTATTCTGTACAGCATTAGATTTGTTTCAGAATGAATGGAACCACACTGTAACAAATGACTTTTTCTGCACAACTGAGCATTAAGCTGTACTATTATCTCCCTTAAACTGAGAGCAGCATGAATACTTTACAGAATTTCAATAGATTTATAGAACCCTGAGCAATGGAGAAAAGAAACACATGTGTCATAATAAAAAAACTGAATTAGAAAATGGGAGCATTAAGGACTGGTTATACTCCTGCAGCAGTGTGTTGCGGTCAGCGGAGTTATGATGCAAATATTTTGAATTTATGGCGAATTTGGAAGTGTGGTCTGTTCTATGTTAATAATAATAGTAATAATAATGAATTTTATTTATAACGCACTTTACATTTGACTTCAAATCTCAAAGTGCTACAAAGTGCTACATTTAAAAAAGGGAAAATTAAAACAAGTTTAAAAGACCATAACATTAAAAACAGAGTAAAAAGACAATCATTAAAATAAATACATTAAAAGGCATATGTAGCCTATTAAAAAAATTTAAATCAACAATTGTAGGCATTTCTAAAAAGGAAAGTTTTTAGTCCTTTCTTAAAACAATCCACGGGGAGCTGCGGCTTCGAAGGCCCTATCGCCCATCGTTTTGCAGATGGAGGTGACATGATTGTCAAAGGAGAGGTGGGGGTCAAGCTTGACCCCAAGGCTTATAACAAGGCGTGTTATTCCACGCCACAACGCAAGATGGACAATCCTGAACTAGCTGGGGGTCTAGATACGGCCGAGGTGGTGAGGAAGTGGAAAAACGCAAGGGGCAAGTTTGTGCAAAAGTGGAGGGGCAAAAAGAGCGGGGATCCAGGTGAAAAAAGGGTCCCAGCGTTCTCGCGCACCTCACTCTTCTAGCTGGTCCATCTTCACGAGTCGTTTTCCACAATGGCGGTCATATAAACAAAACAAGCCGGTAAGGTACCAAACAGGAAATACGCATAGTGTAAAGCGGATGTAGATTTGACCAATCAGAGGCCTCCACCTACAATTCTGGAGAGGTACAGCAGAGGGTCTGCGGAAGGGGTGAGAGAATATCTGCGTTAACTGCGACACACGCAGACCACCTGGTTCCTGAGTGTAAACCAGCCTTTAACGGTAAAGAATCCCACATTCATTACAAGATCATGAAAAGAGGGCAGCATTACATGGAAACCAAAAACCAAAACTGTTTCGCTCATGTAAATCCTGTTCTATGATGTAGAAGAGGAAACCATACATAGACTCTCTAACAATGCTTTTGACATAAACTGGTTTAGTGTTGATCTGGTTTATCAAGCATAGTGTAGTAAAAGAGAAACATTTATATACCAAGACAAGGAACAAAATATATTAACCAATAGAAAAATATTGCTGGTTGAAGATAAATAACTGCTTGTTATGTTTGATTACCTAATGGGGTGCAATAATCTCACATGTTGAACAGATTCTGGTGACATCATCTGTCAGGAGTGGGTCTTTGCAGGCTGGTGAGGTGTTTTAATTATTAAAAGAAATAGATAGATCCTGGCATGGCTTTCCAAGCAGGTGTGGCAAAAAAGGACAATAAAGACTTTTTGTAACAAACATTATAAACCTTTGAAGAGTGAATAAAAAGGCTAGAATATAAAGTAAAGGGAACAGGTGGATCCAATAATCCTCTCTGGTAGAGACTGAGAGCCAAAGCAAAGTGGGATGAAAACAGATGTTAGAGCATAAGTAAAGCATAATAATACCAAACCCACAGGAAAGATGAGCACACAAATAAAGACTAACACATAAAAGCATCTAACATATCTTAGTACTGACAACTGGTCAGAAAAAAACAACAAGAATATGGCAAAGCCAAAACAGAAATCAGTCAAGTGGAGCCTAAAACTTTATAAACGCATGTCTAAAAGGTACAATCCTAATCTTGATAACCTGATCACACAGGTGAAGATTAGAGGTGTACTTTCTTAAAAATGACTTTTTGTGCTAAAATTGTTGACAGGTAATAACTGCCGGAGGTTACGGTTGGGTTGCCAGGGATTGTTCTCCATATCTCCATAAGTTTTCTCAACCAAAAATCAAGGAAAACTGTTTCCTGTTTCACAAAGAGAGTTTCCTAAACCTCCGTTCCGTCACCATAGTAACATTCTCCTCACCATAGTAAGATTCTCCTCACCATAGTAACATTCTCCTCACCGTAGTAACATTCTCCTCAAAGCTAACCCGGTCAGCACCCGGTTTTCTTCAGTACCACTAAACTCTTAACATTTCCTTGTGATGCTTGTATTGTAAGTTATATGTTCTTTCTTATGTATTTGCCTGCCTAGGGACTACGGATAGAAACTAGCTTTGTAGCTATAATCCGGCATATTTACATTTGTTTTTATACTGATGTTCATTAATGTGCATTGTCCCCATTCAAATAAAAAAAAAAAAAAAAAAGTAAACTCTATCTCCGCTCTCCTTACAGCCAATCATGCTGTTTTATTTCTTGATTTAGTCAGGAGATTTTTATCATCATTTTTGTGCATACAATATTAAAAAACCACATTAGACACATTAGGTTTAAAAAACAAACATTACATCTCTTTATTTAACAAGCATTTTTTCACTATTAAATAGTTATAGGGAGAGGATTCTACAACTCAATTGACATTATATAATATTTATTTGTTTTTGTTTGAGTGGATCATTTTATTCTTATTTATTTATTTTTACAGTAAGTTAGGATTAGGATTCATTACCATTTATTGGGATGATAATATCTGAAATAGCTGCAAACAGTCACTTAGTATTTATAGAGTAAAAGAGGACTGAATCAACATGAGGAGGAACCCATGAGAAGATGCACAGGTTCTCTATATTAAATCAATGTTTTTAGACTTCATTTTCTCCTGATGAAAGATAATTTCATCTAAATAGATACTTTGATTCATTACCATTCAATAAATAAACTCATAATGTTATCATGGTCACAACAGGTTATGGCAAGCCAGTTTGATATTAACTGAATTACCGAATATGTATTCCTGATATCTGAAAATAAATGTTTTCCTTGTCAAAAAGACCTTTTCAAACAAAATAACATCCATCACATCTAAAATAAATGGTCTGGATGTCAAAAAAATATAATTTCAGATCTCCATATCACAACGAAATATATTCTCAGATATTATAAATTGATATTGGCGCCGCCTTTTACAGCTGCTTTTTGTATCTCTGCTTCTGTCTCCTTGAACCCCAGTCGGTCTCAGCAGATGGCCGCTCACTCTGAGCCTGGTTCTGCTGGAGGTTTCTTCCTGTTAAAAGGGAGTTTTTCCTCTCCACTGTCGCTACAAGCATGCTTAGTGTGAGGGATTGTATTTGAGTCAAAGCAATCAACTGGTTTTCCTTAGATAGAAAACTTTGAATCAATTTGACTGGATGATCTGGTTGAACTGTAAAGTGCGTTGAGATGACATGTGTTGTGAATTGGTGCTATAGAAATGAACTGAATTGAATTGAATATCCAGTCAAGCTGATAAGTGTTAAAATGGCCACTAAATCTGTGTAAACATTTCTAGGTATGTAAAACTTAATACTAGGTTGATTTGTTTTGTTTTTTTATTCAGTTTTTACTGCAAATATGTAATTTAGAAAATATGTTATCACAGTTCAGTCTAGGAGTTTGATTTCGATCAGGAAGAATCTTATTTTACTGATTTACAAATGGAACAACAGAGAGGAGTGGCTTCTCTGGGCTATGTGTGGAAACGGACTGCCATAGCCCACCTCATATAAACTTATGCATTAACTCAAGCAGCAATCTTCTCCTTCGCTATCTCCCGCAGCTGTAGGACTGTTTCTCTGGCTTTTAAAAATATTCTTCCATTTCTTTTTTTCATTTCTTCATTAAAATCTCTAGTTCAAGTGTGGTGAAATAGACTCTTCCTGTTGCCTGCTGTCATGATGACTCATTAAATCTGGGCTTCACCGATAATGCCTTTTTATACTTGTAATGCACGTGTTAAACTCTGAGCGGACCTACTCAGGGTGGATCAATTTAGTGTTTCAGATTTTAATCTCAGTTTGAAACGGAGCCCTGCTGCATCAACACAGATTTAAATATTGTCTACTTCCAGACAAAGTTAGAACTTATAAGTTTCGAGGTCTCCATCTTTACTCAAAAACATTTTAAAGCTTATTTGGTGACAAACTGAAGACATAAAAACATAATTTTTACACTTATTATTGTTTACATCCACTGCTGTTGGAAGAAAGCACTGCAGCTGTACACAGACCCAACCCATCACCATGAAAAGCCATGAGACAGAAAAGGTCTAATCCAATCCAATCCAATCCACTCTATTTATATAGCACAATTTCAATAAACACAAGGTTTCCAAAGTGCTGCACAAAAAGATAAAATAACTAAAATAAAGATAAATAATAGTAAATAAAATAAAATAAAAGCACTGTCCACACAGTATAAAGGTATGCATGTGTATACATAAAATCAACATTCTACATGGTGTCAAAAGCCAAAGAAAAGAGGTGGGTTTTAGGAAGAGTTTTAAAATGAGACAGAGAGGTGGCCTGTCTAATGTGCAGCGGCAATCCATTCCAAAGTTTTGGAGCTGCAACAGAAAACGATCCCCTCTGAGCTTAAGCCTTGCTTTAGGCACTGTCAGGAGCAGCTGATCAGCTGACCTGAGAGATCGGCTGGGAGTGTAGGGGTTCAGCAGCTCAGAGAGGTAAAGTGGGCCATTCAAGGCTTTAAAAGTAATTAAAAGAATTTTAAACTAGATCAAAACCCTGGAAGAATTGAAATGACCTGGGTAACTGTACCCAGGCTTCCCAAAGCCTCAGATTTTTTAGAGGCAGCAGAAAACAGACTTATGTTAATTGCTTGTTTATTTAGCTTTTGCTAAAAGCTGTGCCTCACTTGATCTGTGATCTACAACCACAGAGCAGAATCAAAACCACGTTTTAAACAAATGTATAAAACATTAACATCATTAGATGAGGGCTGGATATCAGGAATTTCCTGATCTTAAGTGGCTCACATCGTTATTGGAGGAAACATATCTTAATCATCTCAGAATTTTCATGAAGAAATGTCTCACATTCTGGCTCAGACAAGTCTGCATAGTGATCCTCTTTGGGTTTTTTTTTTTTAACCATTAGCTTGTAATTTCAACAAAAAAACTGAAACATGAGTTTACATAGATTATCACGACTATCTTGTATTTAGCCCTAGAGCTGCATAGCCTCAAAACATCTTCATTATTTCCCTTTGTTTCATTTACACAATGTGTTTCTTTGCCACATTTGTAATGATTGACTCGATTTTAGCTCAGTGTGCCACATCGCATTAACTTAATGGGAAAGCCTGGAAGCCTAGCTTGGAGCAGTAAAAGCAGCACCCAGCCAATAGCTCCTTATCAGAGCTCGGGGCGAAGAAATAACATACCGTACATCTGTTTCTGAGCATCCTCTCAGTGTCTGCACAAATGAACTGACTGGTGCTTATGTTCCATTTCTGAAGGACAGAAAAAGCTCCTTAGGCACAGAGTGAACACCTAATGGGAAGAGAACAAGATGGCATTAATAAGACTTTTTAAAGAAGCCCTCAGAGGAATATTAAAATCCCCTGACATGTGTTCTTGTTAGTGTTTTAATCTGTAACAGCCCTGAAACCAACTCTGACAATATGAGAGCGTTTCATGTGACAGTACATCCCACTGACTTTTTCAGACATGCATCTAGCTTTTGCTCCTCCTGTAGATGCATAT